GACACTGGCACTTGGTTGTGGCGATTTTGTTTTCTGCACAGATTTTTCTGTCTTCCTTGTCGGGCTCCACGTGTGCCCCAGAGTCAGGACCCAGGCTCCTGCCCAGCTGCCCCCTCGCTGCTCCTCCCTAACTGGGAGGCTGCAGCATAATCAGGGAGGCTCCCGGCTTCTCCCCTCCCCCCCCCCCCCCCCCCCCCCACTATCCGCCCCCGCCCCGCAGGCGCAGTGCCGCTCCAAGGTCCTCAGTGCAGCCTTCCGCTTCTGGGAAGGGGCCTCCAGAGGGCAGAGGTGTTGGCGCCACCTCCGGGAGGTACAGCGGCTGGGGATGTTGCGGGGCTGGGGGATCGGGCTGGGAGTTGGGGTGCTGGGCACAAACCCTCAGAGAAGCAGTGTGATCCCTGAAAAGAGCCCCCCATACCTGTTAGCAGTCACCTACCATTCTTCACCCCTTACCCCATCCCCAAGCAACAACCAATCTATTTTTGTCTCTGTGGATTTGCCTTTTTATAAATGGAATTATACAATATGTAGCCTTTTATGCCTGGCTTCTTTTATCTACCATAGTGTTTTCAAGGTTCAACATGTTGTAAATCTGAGTATCTTGTTCTTTTTTATGGCTGTGTAATATTTCAGGGGATGGGGAAACCACATTTTCTTTATCCACCATCAGGTGATAGAAATGTGGATTGTTTTTTCTCTTTCCCTATTAAGAACAATGCTATTATGAACATTCATGTACAAGCTTTTGTGTGGACATGTTTTCAGTTCTCTTAGGTTTACACCCAGGAGTGGAACCACTGGTTCATATGGTAACTCCTTATTTAACTTTCTGTAGAACTACCAGTTTTCCAAAGCTGCACCATTTTACTAAAGGCAAAGTCTTCTTAACAGTTCGTCAGTTTTCTTCATGATCTGACTCTCATCTCCATCTTCTGTTGTATCTTTTGCCACGTACATTTGTTCCACCAATAAATACTATTCACAGCTTTCCCATACATGCCATGCTGTTTCTTGCCTCTGGACCTTTGTTTCTGTTTCACCTGCCTGGAAAGCCTGCTATCCTTCGCTCCATCGAGGTAACTGAGTAATGGCCTCCCCCACCAAGCCTCCCCTGCCCCCAGTGATGCACTCCCAGAGTAGGTGACCCTCGTCTCTATGCCTATGCATATTGATGTTAACAAGTTTTAAATGCCATATAATGGATTTAATAACTCTTCCTTGTCTACCTCTGGCAAAGATGGAATTCTTAAAATGTAGGAATTGTATCTTTTTTTCCCTTTGTATCCCTGGCACCTACTGGTGGCCTTCAATGAATGACTACTAGTTATTTATCAAGGTCCTTTTAAGAGCCAGTTTACAAAGAGACCAGATATTAGAATACTGCAGTAATCAAATATGTGCAAGAGTCCCTGCCCTCAACGGGGATGAGGCCTAACTACTGGGGAAGATGGACACAGACATATAAAACCAAGCAAAAGCAAAAAGCAAAAATGTAAGTTCAGAGGCTCAAAGTAAAAATTCCTTTAAAAACATTCTTTTGCCTTCTATTTTCCAAAGCAGTGGTACTCAATCCTGCTTTAGAATTTCTTGTGGAACTTTTAAAAATGAATGCTTGGGACCCCAGCTCAGTTTGATTTCACTGGTCTGGGAGGGGCCCTAGTCTCTTTTTTTTTTTTTAAGCTCTGAGAATTCTAACATGTAGCCAGGATTGAACAGCTCTGGTCTATAGTGGAAAACACACACACACACACACACAAATCTAAGCTTTGTCCTGGCTGGCATTCAAGACTCCTGGTTATTTGGCACTCGAATTCCTATCCAAACTTACTTCCTACTATTAAAGAAAACCTACCTGTGTGTTAAATATCATTAACTTAGTCCTATGGACCTGTGTCAGTAATCCCACCTTTTTCACAACTAGGCTACCCTCACCCCACTCCCCTTACCCACCTGAATTACTTCCTATTCGTCAAAGCTCCTCCCCATAGATATTACTGTCTACACTTAACATTGGTTTCCCATTTCTATCAGCTGAAATTTTCCAAGATTTAGTTCAATATGCCCCCCACCAAAAAAGAACTCTCAGAACTTTTTTTCCTGTGCAATTATCATATTCAAATTCACATTGTTTACATACATATCTCTTAAGTAGAATGAAAGCTACCAAGAGTTAGGAACCTATCCTAGTGATTTATGTCCTTCCAAATAACCCTGCACACAGTTTAGTGTTTACTGAATGTAAATGTTACATACTGTCCCACATCGAAAACAAGATTGTTCTCTCCTTGGAAACAAGAGCTTTTGTATCTTCACAGCCATAAGTATTCTATAAATGTCTAGATTGAATTATCAATTTACTCTTCACCAATAATCACATATTCTACTAAAACATGTATATGTATTCTACACAGCACCTTTTACTTAAGTTTCAAATATTTGATTTTCTTTTCTCCAGTTTCACTAAATCACGGGAAGTATCCCAGAGCCACTCATACTTTACACCAACCTCTCCATTCTTATATCCAGCGTCTTCTGTCTAACCATCCCTTTGAAAACTCACTCCCATGAGACCTGACACTGGTATATATACATTTCCGTAAGACCAAGAATCATAACGTGTGTACATATCTACCCATCAGTCTATTTCTCAAAAACCCACTTTTCACTTAATTTAATAAGTACTTGTTAATCTAGCTTCACTTCAATTGGTCCTACCGAAGGTAAAGTCCCAAGAAAGACATGAAATGTTACAGAGGAAGATTGTCTGCACACATGGCTCTTGACACATCCTCTCATCCCTGTAATTGCATGCTGCTTCTCTGACCCAAAAAATGGAATGCCTTTCCTCACAGCCTTGAATCTGAGCTGGCCTGTGACTTACTTTGACCAAGGGAATCCAGCACAAGTGACACCATGTGACTTCTTGGACTCCATCTATCAAGCCTTGCATATTTACTTTCATCCTCTGGGATGAAGCCTCCATTTAAAGTTTGGCTACACTATTGAATAACGAGACCATGTGGAAAAAGCATCTCACCCACAGCAACTGAGGCACTAGACATATGAATGAAGACACCTTGGACATTCTAGCTCCGGCCAAGCTCCCAGCTGAATGCAACCACATGACTGACCCAGCCCACCCCAAAAGAAGCGGCACAGTGCTGAGCCCAATTCAGAGAATATGAATAAATTGTTCTCTTCGGTCCTTAGTTCTGCGGTGGATTGTTACATAACCATAGATAACTGAAACGAGTACTTGTTTATGGGATGTAGATCAAATAAGAGACCTAATCATTCTTAATTCCTCTCTTCAAATCCCAACTTGTATCTTTAAGTAATTCATTTTCTTTACTTTGCAATACTACTTGTATAAGCAAAAAGTTAAAATAATTTTTAAAACCTATTTGCATTCATTTCTTCAAGTTTCTCTAATTCTTGACAACTACACAGACTCAAGTGTCATAACCATTCATACTCGCCAAACTCTGTTCTAAGTATTTCACATGCATCATTTCATTTACTACTCACACAAACCTGTAGGTAAAGTATATTATTCTAACTGACAGGCTAAAAAAACTAAGGCTCAAAGAAGTTAACTACTTTGCTGAGGGTCACACAGAGTAGTAGAGATTAAGTTTAAACCCAGACCTGTCTGACTCAAACAGCCATATTCTTAATAAACAGCTTATACCAGAAGCTTACCTTTATCAACTTAAATTAACCCCCCCAACAAACACAAAATGCACTTTTAAGCCACATAAAAAATTTTTAAATCAACATGTCAATACTTCAATACTTCCCTTACTTCATTCTGCAAAAATTTATTCAGTCTCACTAGTCTAGGCACTGAAGACATACAAAAATTAACCCTAACCAACATGTAATTCTAGAAACTGTAGCAACATATTTCTCGATTGTCACCCTTATTTGATCTTATGCACAGTCAAGTAATTATTAAACGTGTCATACATGCTTCAGTAAAGCTAGACCTATCTCACCATCTCTCGACACAATTCTACACTCTCTCACTATGCACTCATCATTCTTCCCATGCCCACTTGAAATGTTCTACCATTTCTCTCCTTACTAAAATCCAACCTATTCAATGAAACCTTTATCAATTAGAAAAAACACACTTCCTTATCTAGGTCATTAATGGTCCACATCAGTGGTTTTCAAACATGACTAATTAAAATCACCTGCAGGCTTTTAAAAATGAGAATTACCTAAAACTAGAGGAATCATACTTCAAAGAAGCAAAAGCCTGGAAATCTAAATGTCTATAAAAATGAAACTGGTTAACTCATTACGGTACATAATGTGAAGAAAATAAATGATACCCAGGTCGCATTAATTGAAAAAACAAGATACAGAAGAGTGTGTATGGAATCCCACTTTTTTAAAGTAGATAAATACATAGTTAAGATAAGCTTGTACTGCACAGTATATGTCCAGAAGGATTTAAAAAATCTTAAGAGTGGTTGCCTCTGTAAAGGAGCATAAAAGAAACAAATGTTTATGTGGCATAGAAAGAAACAAATTCTACCATTTGCAACCTGGATGGAGCTAGAGGGTATTGTGCTCAGTAAAGTAAGTCAGGCAGAGAAAGACAAATACCAAATGATTTCCCTCATTTGCGGAGTATAACAACGAAGCAAAACTGAAGAAACAAAATAGCAGCACTCACAGACTCCAAGAAGGGACTAGTGGTTACCAAAGAGGATAGGGTGGGGAGGGCTGGTGGGGAGGGAGGGAGAAGGGGATTGTGGGGTATGATAGGTGCACATGGTGTGTGTGGAGTCATGGGGAAGACAGTGAAGCTCAGAGAAGACAAATAGGGACTCTGTGGCATCTTACTACACTGATGGACAGTGACTGCAGTGGGGTATGGGAGGGACTCAATAATAAGGGTGAATGTAATAGGCACATTGTTTTTCTTGTGAAACCTTCATAAGAGTGTATATCAATGATACCTTAATAATAAAGAAGCAGAAAAAAAAAACAGGCTGGGAATTTTTTATCCAATTACCCTTTCATAATTTTAAAATTTTGCACTATATATGCATTTTTTTTTTTTAAGTATTACACACACACAAACAAAAAACACAGATGTGCAAGACTCAGCTCAGCTTGGATCTACAGATCACTTGGAGTTAGGGACCAGACTTTTGAAATTGTGTGAAATTGAATTAAATTACTGAGATGATTCTGATGATCAGTCAGGCTTAGGAATCACCCATGCAAACCACTTACACAATACTTAATGCCTCATATTAAAGTGCACATGTAAAAACATAACTTTGTACCCCTAACTACAAAAGCATTAAATCTGCTACACTTTGTTTTTTCTACAGTTCTCAGGTCAGAAAAAGTACCCAGTAAGTATTGTTTGATGAGAATAGTGAAGTGCAATTCCACTTATATTTTATTCTTATTGTGTAAGGGTTTTTCAAAAAATATTTAACATAACAGTATTACAGGGCAATTAATATTACCACTTTCAAAATACGAAGGGCCAAATGTCAAAAAGTGCCAGTAACTATTTTCTTTTTTAAAGGCCATAAGTATGGCTAGACTGCAAAGGGCAAGTGGTGAAGTCCAAACCCAAGATTGTAAGAATTAGGGATGAGTCAGACTTCTGCAATCAACATATTTGAGTTAAAGTAAAATGTGTGGATAAGAGATTCCGAAGAGCCCCATTTTATTAGAGAGCATACAAATTCCTTTCCTCATAAGGAAAAGTACTGTTCCCCTTCTCCTGGGTGATCTGTGTGCCTCCTCCACGGTTCCCAGATTTCTCTTCTATCTGTACTTTCCATGTCGGTTAAAGTGTTTGTAGAGATAGCTGATGCGCTTTTTAAGTTTGTGCAGGTCGTCAAGGAACATCCGATTTCCAACCATTTTCTTCTTTCGGATACAACGCTGCAATTCATTCCCCTTCCACCCCCGAAGCCATCTGGGGCCCTTGATTAGCTCTTTGGGGTGTTTTTCAAAGTTTCCTGTATAACGTGAGAGAACATATTAGATCCAAGACCAAAGAAGCCAGTCTCGATCAGCCAAGCCTTCAACACACTTGCATCTATCTTCTTGAGCAGCACCTACAGACAAGATACATTACACTGCAGTATCAAGAGCACAGACTCTGGAGCCAGGCGGCTTGGGGTTCAAATTTTGGCACTGCCATTTACTAGCTTTGGAAAAATTACTTAACTTCTCCGTGCCTGTAAAGTGAAAAGGTTATTTTATGAAGATCAAATGAGTTAATACATGAAAGGCGCTCAGAACGGTACTGAACACAACGGAAACAACCACTCAAATATTTGCCCGTTATTAAAACACGGTACCATTTCTATAAAGGTGAAAAAAAGATAGTCGTTAAGGCATAACTGCTATTCTGAAATTCTGTACCATGAGTCGAGCCTTACCCAGGATCCCGATGTTGTCATACACCCCAAACATGGCCCTCTTCTCGCTCCAACGATCAACCACTTTAGTGGGCGGGAGGGTGAGCCTTACACGGTACAACCGAGAAACACCTAGGAATGAGGAAGAAATGGAATCAATCAGCGCTGCTTACTAACAAGCACTTCTGGGGCGTCTTTCTGCATTAGCCGCTTACCCAGAGAGAAGCTTCTGCAGGCCAGGGGCACCCAGCCCCATAAGCCCCTGCTTGCCCCCCTGGAGAGGCTGCCTGCCATTGCTGTCGTCTCTTCCCTACAAAAGCACACTGCACGAGCACAACGGCAAGGTCAGACGTGGCTTTCAAGGAGATGGCCAGAATCGTGGACGCCGGCCTCACACGGGTACTAAGCAGACGCAACCATCTTGGCCTTACCCAGCTAGCTCTGCGCGCAGAACCCGCCTAGGTCCCTCCTACCCCAGCCACAAGCCGCGCCCTCCGGGTCCCGGTGCACTGAGGCCTTAATGCACCCACCCAACCCGACTCTGCCAGACTCCTTCCGGTTTGTGTGCCGGAAGTTAGCGCCGGAAGAACTAGGGAGCTCGTTTCATTTTCGAGGGCGCTCTGAAACTGAATTTCAAGAAAATTCAACCTTTCCTGTTTCCTTGGGCATCCCTCAACTGTAAGAGAGATGAAGTCCCAGAACCTGGAGCCAAAAGCTTCTTTTCTCTGTGCCTCACAGCGGTTTTGCTCTGTAGCTGTTTTTTATTACCCCTCTTCTGCAGGGGAAGAAAGCTGAGGCTCAGTGCAGTGACCTGCTGGGCGTCACGCAGAGATGGCGGAACCTGGGTTAGAGCCTGAGCCTTCTCATTCCCGGCCTGGACTTGCCTCCTGTCCTGGGGGTGACTGAATGGGTCACTACCCCGGGGCACTACTGCCCGGGCACTGCCAGGGCCTCCTCGCAGCCAGCCAAGGAGGACCTCGTAGGGAAGGAGGCAGCGACGACGAGTGGGGCGGGGCCTAAGTCGAGTCCCCGCCCCTCCCGGCGGCGCGGCCCTGTTCCTGGGCTATGACTGGCCGGTCTCTCCAGTAAGCGTCACGATTGGTCCCCTTGCAGCCGTTGAGATTTGAACTCCCAAGTTTGCGCCGCGCGGCGCCTGGTCCCTAGGCGGGTTTTTGCCTCCGCCTTCCCGGCATTGGCAGATTTCCTTGCCCGTTTGAGCGCTGCCTCGCTGATCGGTGTGTATTGTACGCTCCGTATTTTTTTCTTTCATTTCAGCCCCAAAACCGGAGTCGGAGGAACGGCGGGTGAACTGTAAAGGTGTGCTGTTAATGGGGAGCGGGGAATGAAAGGCTGGGAAAATCGGATACGGGGCAGTTGACGCGGTATTAGGCAGCGTGGGAGGGACAGGGAGGTCTAATGGGTACATTTTTGAGGTACGGAAACAGTCGACAGATCGGCAGCGGAATTTGGGCAAATCGCTTAACCTTTCTTAGCCTCAGTTTCCTAATCTAAATAGATTTATATTACTATGCACTCTGTGAGACTGGCATTTGGAGAATTACATCAGATGTGATATATTCAAATAGCCTAACAGAACCTGGCACAGGGTAAACAATACGTGTTAATGCTCTCCCATTCTGGAGCTAGGAAACCCGCTTGCCCTTGCTGGGTCACTATTCCAGCTTGGGAGAGAGAGTCTCTCAGTACTTAAGCTTTGCCCGTAAAAATGAAAAAAATTACGCTAACTTAATTCATTGATATGCCACTTCACAGTTCCTTAAACACTTTCATACCCTTGACTCATTTGGTCCTCAGAACAATTTGTAATCAGAAATTAGTGACCCTGTTTTACAGATGAGGCTCCGGGGGTTAAGTGACCTGGCCAAATGGCAGAGTCAAGACTAGAATGAGATTCTAGACTATAGTTGATATCACATCTGTATGATAATGTTAATCAGCTTGATCTTGATGTAAGACTAAAAAGCTTTATTTTTTAGAGGGGGGAATAATAATAGCTAAATAACGAGGTAAAAAAGACAGGCCTCAGAGACTGACCTGTTTGCTGTTTGGCTTCCAGTCCTGTGAGCCAGAGGGAGAACGATGTCTCCCCAGGTGTATGAGTTCCAACTGCCTTTATCCCCAGAAGAATTGTTGAAAAGTGGAGGAGTGAATCAGTATGTTGTGCAAGAGGTACTGTCCATCAGACATCTTGCACCACAGCTTAGAGGTAAGACTCCATAGCTGCTGCTGTGCCTAGCACTTCAAAACAACCATCCCTTGTGTAATTATATTGTCTGTTCCACTACACTACTAAGCTCCCTGAGGGCAAGGAACATGTCTTTCCTATTTGCCACTGTTTTCTCCCTCTAGCATTGTATGAGATGCATTACACAGGGTATACTCACTGACCACCTTCTCTTGACTAGTCAATGAACAGTCTTGGTATATATATGGTTACTCTTTAGGAAAGAATTGTATTAGATCTTTATGTCTTATATGCCCAGATTAAGCCTTGGTGGATTTAAGAGTTATAGAAGATAGCTTTCTCATATGTCTGGGACTTGACCTGACCTGTTTCAGGTAACACCTTTAGAGTCTTGTCTCTTGTTTCCAAGAGTGTGCAAAACATAATATGTATGTACACCTGCACCACTGTACAATATATTTACAATGCAGTTACCCATTGAAACCTGTAGATGACCAAGACAGTTTATACATTATCAAAAAGACCCCATAATGTCACTTTACTTATTAGAAATGATCTTGTATCTGTTAGGTGGCTTTGGAGAGGTACATAGAATAGAAATTAAGACATTGGAGCAAAGCTGCCTGAATTTGAATCCTGGCTTTACCACTCTGACCTTGGACAAACAAGCTACTTAATTCTTTCTGTGCCTCTGTAAAGGTTTTCTCCTCTGTATAGATAGGGATAATAACCTACTTCATTTATTATCTTCTACAACAAGAAGGGTTAGATAATGAGTCAGCTTGATAATTTCACTCCAGCTTGTCTTCTCTTGCCCTTCCCATCATGGTTGCCAGTTGGTAGCTCCTTGCTCTTGCGTCCAGAGATGGCAAAGACGATTTCCTAACTTGTGCTTTTAATTTTCTTCTTTCTTTTTTCAAAATTTGACCACAAGTCTCCCAACAGACCTAGTCCAAGTTGGATCACATGCCTGTTTCCCTAACTGATTATTACTGGTAAGGGAAATGGAATTACTCAGATTGACTAAATTGATCAAGACGATGATTACCTAAGAGCCTCCCTAAACCTAGGCATATCACCATTTGGGAAGCAAAGAAGAAGGGGGAGCATGGAGGTTGACTGGCGGGTGGCTAAACAGTAGTATCTATACTAGACTCTTCTCTCCATAATGTGTGGATATGTGGATCACCAATTGGACAAATTATAGCAAATTGTTCCATGGTTATTATAATACTTTTTTTTTTAAATAAATGATCACTTTTTTTTAAGAGACTGGTTTTAGTGTTTTTAATTGAAGTATCTTTGATATGCAGTCATATATTGGTTTCAGACGTACAACACAGTGGTTCAGCAGTTACCCATATTATTACTTCCTCACCCTCTCTACTGCAGTTACTGTCTATCAACATAGAAAGATGTTACAGAATCATTGACTGTATTCTCTGTGCTATACTACCATCCCTGTGACAACTTATATTGTAATTGCGAAATATTGTGGCCCCTACCCCAGCCCCTTCCCCTTGGTAACCACTAGTCACTTCTCAGTGTCTACGAATCTACTGTTGTTTTGTTCTTTCTGGTTTCCTTGGTTTTTTATATTCCACAAATAAGTGAAATCATATGGTATTTGTCTTTCTCCACCTGGCTTATTTCACTGAGCATAATACCCTCCAGTTTCATCCATATTGTTGCAAATGGCAGGATTTTTTTTTAATGGCTGAATAATATTCCATTGTGTATACCACATCTTCTTTATCCATTCATCTACTGATGGACACTTAGGTTGCTTCCATATCTTGGCTATTATAAATAGTGCAGCGATAAACATAGGGGTGCATATATCTTTTCAAATCAGGGATTTTGTTTTCTTCAGGTAAATTCCTAGAAGTGGAATTACTGGATTGAATGGTATTTCTATTTTTAGTTTTTTGAGGAACTTTTATACTGCTTCCCACAGCAGTTGCACCAGTTTGCATTCCCACCAACGTTGTAAGAGGGTTCCCATTTCTCCACATCCTCGCCAACATTTGTTACTTCTTGTCTTTTGGATAACGGCCATTCTAACTGGTGTGAGGTGATATCTCATTGTGGTTTTGATTTGCATTTCCCTGATTATTAGTGATGTGGAGCATCTTTTCATGTGCCTGTTGGCCATTTGTATTTCTTCTTTGGAGAAATTACTGCTGAGGTCCTATGCCCACTTTTTTAATTGGGTTATTTTTTTTTTGGGTGTTGAGGTATATGAATTCTTTATATAGTTTGGATGTTAATCCCTTCACAGATGAGTCATTTACAAATACATTCTCCCCTACTGTGGGTTGCCTTTTTGTTCTGCTGATGGTGTCCTTTGCTGTACAAAAGCTTTTTTAGTTTGATGTAGGCCCACTTGTTCATTTTTTATTTTGTTTCCCTTACCTGAGGAGATGTGTCTAGGAAAAAAATTGCTCATACTTATATTTCAAGAGATTTTTGCCTACATTTTCTTCCAAGAGTTTTATGGTTTTATAACTTACATTCAGGTCTTTCATCCATTTTGAGTTTACTTTTGTGTATGGAGTTAGACAATAAACCAGTTTCATTCTCTTACATGTAGTTGTCCAGTTTTCCCAACACCAGTTGTTGAAGAGGTTGTCTTTTCCCCATTGTATATGCATGGCTCCTTTATCATATATTAATGGCCATATATGTGTGGGTTTATATCTGGGCCCTCTATTCTGTTCCACTGATCTATGGGTCTATTCTTGTGCCAGTACTGTACTGTTTTGATTACTGTGGCTTTGTAGTACAGTTTGAAGTCAGGAAGCATAATCTCCCCAGCTTGGTTCTTTCTCAGGATTGCTTTAGCTGTTTGGGGTCTTTTGTGGTTCCACATGAATTTTAGAATTATTTGTTCTAGGTCATTGACAAATGCTGTTGGTATTTTGATAGGGATTGCATTGAATCGGTAAATTGCTGTGGGCAGGATGGCCATTCTGACAATATTAATTCTTCCTATCCATGAGCATGGGATAGTTTTCCATATATTGGTGTCTTCTTTCATTTCTCTCATGTCGTGTAGTTTTCAGGATATAGTTCTTTCACCTTGGTTAGGTGTATTCGTAGGTATTTACTCTTTTTGATGCAATTGTAAAAAAAGGTGGTTTTCCTGATTTTTCTTTCTGCTAGTTCATTGTTGCAACAGATTTCTATGTATTAATTTTGTATCCTGCAACTTTGCTGAATTCAGTTATTAGTTCTAGTAGTTTTTTGGTGGAGTCTTTAGG